AGCCCCGCGGGAGGCCTGTGGGAGGCGCCCCGGCCCAACGCCGGGCTCCGGCACCCACCTTGCGAGTGACGTTGTGCACGTAGGGGCAGGTGTTGCAGGCGAAACGGTGGCAACGCTGTCCCTCCTCCACGATGAGCCCATTCCCGCAGCCCGGGCAGAACAGCAACATGACCGCAGCCCCGCAGCCTCCCGCAGCCTCCCGCAGCCTCCCGCAGCCTCCCGCAGCCTCCCGCAGCCTCCCGCAGCCTCCCACCGCACCCTGCGGCCGCTCCGGCGCCGACGCTACGCCCGCCTCGCGCTCCCATTGGCCTGGCAGCCGCCCTGCCCCTCATCCCACCAATAGACACGCCGAGTTCGCGCTCCCAGCGAGCACTGCGGCAGGCCGTCTCGCACTTCTCATTGGTTCTTGCGGCAGCCCCACCCCTCGACGCCCTACTGGCGGAACTGCTTGTTGCGCTCCGGGGTGTGCGCACCCAGCCAGCTCCGGTGGACCGGCTTTGCGGACTGAACGCGTTGGGCAGCCAGCGCCCTGGAGGAGGCGAAGGCGGCGGAGGCGGCGGAGGCGGCGGAGGAGGAGGCTGCACGGCCCGAGGCGCCTGAGGACGATGAGGACGAAGAGGAGGCGCTGCCGCACTCCGAGGCGGTGGACGTGTTCCAGGAGGGTCTGGCCATGGTGGTGCAGGACCCGCTGCTCTGCGATCTACCGATCCAGGTGCTCGGGACAGGTCCCTGGGGTGATGGAGACCGCTGTCCGGAGGCCTCTTAAGGCACCTCTGGGCGTAAACTGGGGTCTTAACCAGGGCCGGGCCTAGAATGGGGCGAGCGAGGCTCTCGCCTTGGGCGCGGAATTTAAAAGGCCCCAAAAACACCCCCCCAGTAGTCAGGATACAGGACATTTTAATATAGTAGAGCCCGCGGGGGGGTGGCTCAGCGGTTGAGCATCGACCTAGGACCCAGGAGATCGCGGTTCGATTCCCTGTCAGGGCACATGCCCCGGGTTCCATCCCCAGTTGGGGGCGTGCAGGAGGAAGCCGATCAATGACTCTCTCATCACTGATGTTTCAACTCTCTCTCTCCCCCTCTCCCTTCATCTCTCTGAAATCAATAAAGATGTGTTTTTAAAAAAACAGTATAACTCAAGTTGTAAAAAAGCGTATGGCAAACAAAATAATATAGACTAGGTCAGGCCCTACCGGCGTGGGTCAGCGGTTCCGGGTCAAGACACACGGCGGGGTTGCAGGCTCCATCCCCCCAGCAGGGGGCGTGCAGGAGGCAGCAGATAAACGACTCTTCATTGATGTTTCTCTCTCTCTCTTTCTCTCTCTAAAATCAATTAAAAAAAAGACTAGGTCAGTATTGCTGACTTTTCCCTTCTCAAGCTTCAGTGTTACTTTTTCCATCATGGAGTTTTTCAATTAACTTCTGTTTTCTTAAAAGTTGTATTACAATGTTTGTCATTGCACACCTGCCAAACCTTGTCCCAAGGCCCTGGCCTGGATCCTGGTTGGTGATCAGGGGCTCCCAGACTGAACTGACAAGCACAATGTTCCTCCTCCTACCCAGCCCCTGGGTGAGAGGATCCAGGGCTGTTCGTCCTTGCCTTTTTCTATGTTCCTTTCTTCTTAGCCTCTGTCCACTTTGGACTTTAAATAGAAAATATGGATGGAAAATGAGACTGGGGTGCTGAAAAACTGGGAAGCCCTAGTATATAAGCAAGAATCCCTTCCCTTTCTTGTCCTTCATAAAATATGGCTTCACTCTTTGGATACTATCAGCTTCTTGTTGTTTGGAGTGGTAAAGAGCCAGGGCACTCACCTCCACCCTGGGTCTTTTCTAGGTTACTTTGGAAGAGGTCAATTCCCAAATAGCCCTGGAATATGGCCAAGCAATGACAGTCCGAGTGTGCAAGATGGATGGAGAAGTCATGCGTAAGTGCTGCCCTCCCTTCAGGCCATGCAGGCTGAGCTTCCACAGGCTAGTCAGTGGGATACTGATCGGCCATCCACAAGCCCACCGTGCGCGGACTTGAGCCTCAGGCAGAAACAGGCTTGACAGGGCTCCTGGGTTCCTCTCCCGCCATCTGAAGCCGTGGCTGTGGGATCTTCTCTCATTCCCATCCCTTGTTGCAGCTGTGGTTGTCGTACAGAACGCCACAGTCCTGGATCTGAAGAAAGCCATCCAGAGATACGTGCAGCTCAGGCAGGAGCGCGAAGGGGGCATTCAGCACATCAGCTGGTAAGTGAAGCAGCGGCTCCTTGCAGCCCTCCCTGGGAGTTGGTGTGGGACTCCACGGGAGCACGCCGGACATGTGCTTTTTAATCAGCTGGTCTCTGCTACAAAGTACTGACTGGAGTGATAAGCTAGCTCCCTGTCACAATCCTTCATACAGGGCGGGTACTTCTTGCCTAGGGGCTATGCACCGGGAGCCCTTCTCAAACACAGCTGTCGCACCCCAGCGCTCAGCTCGCAGTTTGCCTGAATCCGTATTTTGCAGGTCCTATGTGTGGAGGACATACCATCTAATCTCTGCGGGAGAAAAGCTCACAGAGGACAGGAAAAAGCTCCGAGAGTAAGTTCAGGCCACATCTTGAGCTGCAGGGAGGCATGTGGACTGTGACCTCTAGTTTCACATGCTCTGCCAGAGGGCTGCCCTCCCCCCCAGGAAGGAGGGACTTTCATTCAGTTCCTGGGGAATTGTGAGCCAGGAGAGTCCATGGCTAGACTGAGGCCCTCCTGCTGGGGGTGCTCCCTACTAGGAGAATGGGAGGCGGAGGAGCAGTGAGGGGCCTACTGCTTCTCACCAGTGGCAGTTCAGGGCCACACAGAGCCAGGAAGAGGGAAGAAGAGTATGCGTGGAAGTGAAAGGCTGCCTGCTGGCGCAGGATGTGTCTGTGGGAGGAAGGCCACTGCCCTTCCTTGCCTTCCTGAACACCACACTCCCACCTGCTCTTTCTTGGTTTCTCACAAGCCTCAGGTGAGGCGTCACAGACATAACCTTCTGTAGATTAGATACTTGACGCTTTTCCCTCTCTTTCAGTTATGGTATCCGGAATCGGGATGAGGTGTCCTTCATCAAAAAACTGAGGCAAAAATGAACCTCCAAACAAGGACAACTCTGTGCTGGTGGCCAAGCTCTTCCCCAGCAGGCCGAAGCCTTGGGTCACTGTCCCCTGTTCACAGAAGAGTGTTGAGGTGGACTCACCCAGCTGTGCACAACTGGGCCCTCGGGAGTAGGACTGGGTGAGCCAGTCAGTGCTCAAGACCTGAGCTTGACCCCTCCCTGGGTCCAAACACCCAAATTTTGTGGCAGATCCCACACAGCTGTGGGCCCGGCCCTGTGTACAGAATAAATCTCTTTGCTTCTTAGTTTCAAAAGTCAAAAAGCCACAGTACCAGGACACCGGGGCCTGGCGCAGCCCCATCATGAGGGAGGCAAGGGGCAGAGAATGGTGCAGGTGAGTCCTAAAGTCTAAGATGCCACATGACTCTGTTACTATGATCTCTCAGCAAGGAGAAAATAAAAGCAGAGCAGCTGGCTTTCTGTACCTGCTTGTGGAGAAACAAGAGCCTGTGTGCGAGCACAGCCATGGGCGGCCTCCAGCCTCAGCCCATGGGGTTCATATACATCAGCACCTTCCCCGGCTCCTGGAAGGGGAGGTAGCCTGGGGCTGAAGTTGGAGCTGATGGCTGGGGTAATGGGGGCACTTGTAAGCGTGTGTGGGAAAATGTGACAGCTCATCCATGGGTCTGTGCCCATTGTGGCTGCCAGCCACTCTAAGGAGGGGGAGCAAGGGGAGTCCACCTGGCTTAGGGACTTCACTGGAGGGAGGTATTTTGGACACTTCCTGTCAGAAAGGAGGCGGCAGCTCTGGTCAAGTTAGTGGCAGCTAAAACGCTCCCAGTCCATTTATTGGCCACATGAGGTGGTCGTCAGGAGAGTAGTTAGAAGGTAATCACAGGAGCTAGTGTAATAAATGTCCAGAAGTATGAGAGGTTCCACAGCAGTGAGCAAGGCACCAGAGGTCGCTGTCCAGGAAACGGGCAGGACGCCCGCAGGGCTTGCCAACAGTCCCGTGGCTGCGAGGCTCGGGTGGGCGTCTGCCTGGCTCCAGTCTGCTGGGGGCCCGTGGCCCCAGCGCCCACCAGCTCAGTGGAGCTGGGCGTCCAGCTCATACTTCTCGCAGAACTTGTCAGTGAAGGGGATGCAGGTGAGGAACTCGCACCACTCACAGCGGACGGGGTAGAAGTAGAAGAGGACCACCAGGCCAGCCAGGAGGCCCAGGAAGACCACCTGGAAGACGATGATCTGGCAGCGTTTGCGGTACAGGTCGAACCTGCCGAAGCTGATGTAGGGCAGGAAGGCAAAGGAGAGGAACAGGCCGCTGACGAAGCCCGAGATGTGGGCAAAGTTGTCAATCCAGGGCAGCAGCCCAAAGGTAAAGAGGAAGAGCACCACCGCCAACAGCTTGAAGAAGGCACGCCAGGGCCGAGCCAGGATCTGCCAGCTCTGGAAGAGCTCCACGAAGAGGCACGCCAGGATGCCAAACTGCGAGCCGGCCGGGCCCACCTGGAGGCAGTGGGGATGCTGAGCAGGACCCCTGGACCCACAGCCACCCCACCTCATGGCCCAGAGCACAGCAGGACTGAGGAGCCAAAGGAAGATGCTCCTGGGCAGGGACCTTGGGGCAGTCTTACCTCTGCCCGGTATGGCAAGAAAATGGCACTGGCTAGGTTACCGGTGACGCCACTCAGCAGGTAGATGATGGCTATGCGGTGCCAGCCCGCTAGCTTCTCCAGGTCCCGCAGGACAGTCATCTGGAAGCAGACGGACACCAGGCAGTGCAGGATGCTGTGGGGGGATGGGGCACTCAGCGGGGAAGGCCGCCCCGCCACCACCCTCTGGCCAGCCACTCCTGGGGTCCCTGAGGTCACCCAACCCGGCTCAGCCCATACGGTATCACTTGCCCGGCGTGCAAGAAGAGGGACAGCCACAGGCGGTAGAACTGGTCGGGCACCTCGGGGTTGAGGAAGGGCAGGAGCCCACACACGTCATCCATGCAGTGCACCTGTGCAGAGTGGCCTGTCAGCACTGTCCGGGGCTGGGGGGAGAGGGGAAGGACACACCCTGGAGGCCTACCTGAGAGCAGAGTGTGGCCTCCTCGTGGAAGTAGCCCCTCATGAAGTCACAGTACTCCCGGGAGGTGATCTCACACCTGGAAGGTCAAGCCAGGCTTGGGAAGGCTTGCAGAAGGGGGCTGCTGGGGCCCAAGGGCACAGGAGCCTGACTGCACCACCCAGGCCTAGGTTTCAGCCCCATCCGCCCATCTCTGTTGGCCCTGGATAAGCCCAGACCCTTTCTCACCCCACACCCCTGCATCTCTCAAGTTAAGTGGGGACATGGAAAAGGTCAGAGCCCTAGGACAATGCTCTGGGCCCAGGCACACCTACCTGCCCTTGGTGCCAATGCAGCAGGGCCGGCCTGTGATGACGCAGTCCATGTGGGGGTGGTTGGTGTGGTTCCCAGCGCTGCTTTTGGTGCAGATCTGGGTCACAAATGGGGATGAGTTGGGTCAGGGCCTCCTCCAACCCTGCGCCCCAACACCATGCTTGGGGGTTGGGCAAAGATGGACAGGCTCCTACAGTAGAAAACAGGCCTTGACTTCAAGGAAGCTACTGCACCCTAAGCCTCAGTTTTCCCATCTGTCAAATTGAAATGATGTCATTTGATCTCCCAAGTCTACCTGGTTTTCCTCAGAGAGGCAGGTGTTGGTGGAGGGACAGGCTAGGCAAAGGCCAGGGGCATTGCACCTGAAAACGGGGACCTCCTGGCATCACAAATGGGTGAGGTGTAGATTCTTCCCCCACATAATAAGGGTAACTCCCAAACCCCAACAATCTCTACCCCAGCTCACCGGCCACTTGGTGATGTCATCTGGCCACTCATGGGGGTCCTCAGAGGAGGGCTCATCACACACCCTGCATGAGCCCAGTATGTGGTCAGACCCTGGTTTGTGCCCTTAGCATTGGTACCCTTCCGCCCAACTCCGCAAGGGGAGCAGCTGTACCCTCTCCCCCCACTACCCAGGGAGACATAGACAAAGCAAGGGCGGGGCCAGCAGGACTGACCTGGGGTCCTGGTGACAGACAGAACCAAACTGCCTCTTGTGGCCGGCAAGGTCTGGGGCGCTGGGATGGAGAGGCCACTTCACCCACACTGCCAGCGTGGACTGTGGGAAGGCAGAGTCAGCCCCTGGCCAGAGCCCACCCCTCGCCCGGCACAGTCCCCAGAAGGCAGGAGTCAAAAGCAAAACTTTCACTGAGATCCTCCTGAGCCCACAACCCAAAATCTATAAATTTACCCTCCAGAAATGTGTGTGCATGTGGGAGATTCTACTGTAAGCTCAAGAGCATAATTCCTATTAGTGTAAAATTTAAAACAACCTGTGTCCAAAATCAGGAACTGGTATAAACTTTGGCATCTCCTCATAAAATGATGTAATAAAAACTTGAATCTTTTTTTTGTAATTGTTTAGTGGAAAAAATAAGGTAATACCAGTTGTGTAAATTTAAGACATGCCCCAAAACAAGACACAGAAAGCACACCCAGATCAAAGGCATCAATCGCATGGTTGTCTAACGGTTGTCTCTGGGTGAGACGGAGGGGTTGGGGACAGAAAGTAATGAACGTAATGTGAGGGCCTCGCACAGAGCGATGGTGCAACGTGCCAGGATCTAGGGCAAAGGATCACTCAGCCGGCTCCATCTAAAGTCTCAACATAACCACACCCGCAGCGCGGACAAGGGCCGAGCTGCAGGCAGGGGCACGCACCGAGCACTCCTCCTCCGAGGTCTGCACGCAGCCCGACCGGTCGTTGCGCACGCAGCAGGCCGAGTGCTTCTCCCGCTCCCGTGCGGCATGGATGAAACTATGCACCTGCGGATCCTGGCGCATGCACGGCGAGAACTTGGCACCCAGGTGAATGAGAGCCTCCTGCAGGGAGCAGGGTGTGCAGCTGAGGCCCTGGCCCCCTGACAGCCGGGGGTCCTCACCCAACCGCCCTGCCAGGCCCCCCCCTCACCGAGCTGGGCCCAATCCAGAAGTTCTCCTGCTGTACATACTTGACATTCTCATAGACCCCACGGTTCCGCAGCACCTGAGAAGTTGGGGAGAGGGATCAGAAGCAGCCCACTCAGGCCCTCTCCCCCCAGAGCGGGCAGGAGGGCGTCCAGATCCCAGGTTTCACTGGTCTAGGCCCAGGAAGGGCTCCAGGGCTCACCGAGTCCACGGTCTCGTGCTGCGAGAAGCCCACAGGTGCGATCCCGTAGATGCACACAGCTAGAATGGTGACGAGCGAGTGCACGAAGGTGAGCCAGTAGGTGAAGAAGGGCCTGTGGGACGAAGCATCAGCACAGGTGGTGGCTCCAACCCAGAGCCGCCACCCCCAACCCGGAGCCTTGCCTGCCGTAAGCTACGACCCCTCCGTGCCTACCTGTGGTCATCCATGTCCTCGATCTGCCGTTTGACATAGCTGTCGATCCGCTTGCGGTAGGTGCGGTTGGTTAGCCGGCCCACCATGCCCAGCCCATAAGGCCGCTTCTCCCTGGCGAAGAACTTGCGCACCGGCATCGCGATGCGCTGGCCCCGCCGCTGCCCGGCCGCGCTCACCACCTCCTGGCGCAGCCGCACTTTGGGCTGCGAGGCCACGGTGCCACCCTCCTTCTGCTTGCGCCAGCCGCGTTCCAGGGGCCTGGGGGAAGGGGCACGGTCATCTCCCACCCCAGACCCCGTCCTGCTACAGTCTGGCCCTGGCGGGACCAGGGCCACCTTCTGTCTCTGTCTTGCTCCCCCGCAGTGGTGAAGACACTGTGCACCCTCCTCACCAGTCAAGAGCAATCCTGAGCCCCTCCAAAGGTGGCAGGGAGGTGGGCCCAGACCTATGAGCGGTTCCCTGGCCTCCCGCTGAATTCTGTCCAGGCTGAGGGCTCTGGGGTTGCAGTCCCGTTCCACAGGTGGGCGGCTGAGACGCGAATGGTGCCCAGCCCTGGGTCCCCCAGCCGCAACAGCCAAGTGGACCCCTTCCCCTCAGCCCTCCAGGGCACCCTGCCTAGAGCCCAGCTGCTCCTGACCTGCACCCCCCTCTCTGCCCCCTCACCGCTGCCACTCACAGCATCAGGTGGCTGCGCTCCAGCTCCGTGCGGTCCAGTGCCCCGCCCGTGAGGTCCGCCTGGTCCGGGGCTTTCTCCCAGTCCTTGAGCGCTGCCTCTGACGGAGACTCGAACACCTCGTCTGGGTATGTGGACAGCTCCTCGTGAAGGACACCTTCCTGAGCAAACACACTCAGTCAGTGTGAAACGCATAGACGGAG